TTTTACGGTGATAATCTTGTTTTCTTGTGCCCAATAATGCATAATTTCATTTGATAAACACGTTTAGATTGAATGGTAATTTATAATCAGTCACAAGAACGTCGAATCTGAATCACTTGAAAAAAACACGGGGGTGCTTAACTTTTTTCCAGGTGTATATGTAGTATCTAGTTGCTGCCAAGTTCTTCTAACATATGATATTAAACTACTACAAAATACTTTTCAGTGTGTAGTATCTAATTGCTGCCCAGTGTCTTCTAACATATATTATTAAACTATGCTTCCCAATGTGTTATATTTACTTTCCATTCAGTGTTTTCTAACATATAACATTAAACAACTACAAACTGTTTTCCAATGTGTTACATTTTCTTTCCACTCAGTGCCTTCTAACATATAATATTAAACTACTACAAAATGTTTTCAAATGTGAAGTATCTAGTTGCTGATCAGATTCTTATAACGTATAATATTAAACTACTACAAACTGCTTTACAAAGTGTTATATTTACTTTCCGCTCAGTGTCTTATAACATATAATATTAAACTACTACAAACTGCTTTACAAAGTGTTATATTTACTTTCCGCTCAGTGTCTTATAACATATAATATTAAACTACTATAAAAGGCTTTTCACGGTGTTGTATGTAGTTGCCCCTCAGTACTGTCTAACATATAATATTAAACTACTACAAAATGCTTTCCAAGGTGTTGTATTTAGTTTCTGTTCAGTGTCTTCTAACATATAATATTAAACTACTACAAAATGCTTTCCAACGTGTTATATTTACTTTCTGCTCAGTGTGTTCTAACATATAATATTAAACTACTATAAAATGCTTTCCACGGTGTTGTATGTAGTTGCTCCTCAGTACTGTCTAACATATAATATTAAACTACTACAAAATGTTTTCCTATGTGTTATATGTATTTTCTGCTCAATGTTTTCTAAGATATAAAATTAAATGACTACAAAATGCTTTCCAAAGTGTAGAATCTAGTTTCTGCTCAGTGTCTTCTAACATATAATATTAAGCTACAAAAAATGCTTTCCAATCTGTCGTACTTAGTTGCTGCCAAGTGTCTTCAAACATGTAATATTAAACTACTCCAAAATGCTTTCTAAGGTGTTGTATCTTGTTGCTTCTCAGTGTCTTCCAACATATAATATTAAACTACTCCACAATGCTTTCCAATGTGTAGTATCTAGTTGCTGGTCATTGTCTTCTAACATATAATATCAAATTACTAATTTCACTCTCATTGGCTATCATAAAGAGCTTTCATATAAAAAACTCCACTGAGGAAGTTATAATGGCATCTAAAGAAAAGAAGTTCGTCTAATACAACATTCCAAATACTCTTTAACTTACCGTCTTGCAATCATCTGGAACAAGATGAATTTCAGCCCATTCTAATGCCAAGTTGTACTGTCCTGTAGACTGAATGGAGTTCAATACTGCAAAAACGTTTCCATTTGAACACTCAGACACTTCCTGCCAACTCTTGAATGTAACATCATTCTCTTGATTTGAAATTTGTTTACTGGCTGTTTGAATCTTCACATATGAAAACCAAAATATGTAATAAATATGTGAACATTACAGAACTATTAGTTACAAGCACACAGAAAAACGTTTCCAATATAATAGGATATTCGTATTATGAAATGATACATTAAAACAAAAACAAAGGTCAGAAACACAAAAATACACACTGCAATATATACAAGTAATAGAACACTACAATAAGTGACAAACTTAGAGATAAATCACAGAATGAATAAAAATTATACAAAATAATTATCAGGATGTTAATGTTATTGGATGCTACTAAAGAGCTCTTAGTGCAGTGCTTCTCAAAATATTTTTCAAACCACTGGAAGAACATGTTAAGCATCATAATTAATGCTTTTAATGAAGAGTTCAGAAAGAACAGGACTTATTTACTTGATAAATCAAATTATTCCATAGAAATACTTGTACTCTTAGACCACCAAACAATTTTATTCATCTACACATATGCAGATCCAACAACATATTTAATCACAAGTATGTCCCTGTATAATAAGCAGTATTTAAAGAAATTCTTGAAAATAAATATTGATGCATAAATAGAGGTTTTTCAAATTTTAGAAAAGCTAACTTATATCAAATTTATATGATACTATTTTCCAAAACGAGTTCTAAAATTATATGTGCAAACTGCCAGTCAAACACAATGTACATTTTTCTTCTTGTTCAATTAAAAAAGCAATGAAATTCTTCCAAGTTATGACAATATATTCAAATGCTTATCATTGAGATGGTACACTCTGTATGTAAGGATGGCCAAGGTACTCAATAGGTATAATACAAACATGCATGGTAAAAATTCAACAATGAGAGAGAGAGAGAGAGTTTTACTTTAAAAGATGATTACTTCTCAATTTCATTTGTTTCTCTACCCAACAAGCCTAAAAACAAGGCAAGAAACCATCGCTAAGATACCACACCAGAAAGTGACCAACCCACAAAGTTGTTCATCTTTCTTCTTCTTGTTCCAGTCAAGATAACTGTACAACTACTTTATCACTAATGTCAGTTTAAAGCTAAATCCACCCTGTGTTTTTCTGGGCAGTGCATGATGTCATTGCTTAGTCATAATAACTAGTAGTAAAAAAAATATCATAATTCTAGTGTAAATGATGTTATCATTACCCCTTGAAGTTAGTTTTCTTACAGAAATTTGGTATTCCTTTAAAAACTTAAGTACAGGGTGAAACAGGAATTACCAGCCAATAACAGATGAACATTAAATGACTGTAACATGTAGAATACTCAATGTTTTGTACACTAAACAATCAATGTCTTTAGAAAACCAACCCCTACCTTATGCATGAAATTAACAAGTAAAAAAACAATACACATAATACAGTAGAACCTTGATTATTGGCACCTAAAAACAAAGGGCACCCCACCACTCAGGGCAGACCTTTTCAGTCTCTTTCTTTTTTCTACTATTTGTAACCAAAATAAATCTTGCAATAATGAGCACTTCGATATTCTGGAATAAAAGCAGTATCTTTAGTCTTGTTCTCTATACTGGCACTCGAAAAAGTGGACAATTATCTTTGTATGCTGGTATAGTATACTGCTAAATTCCAAACATCCCACCAGAAGGATGACCAATATTCAAACACTTACAATGTTTATTGGATCAGCTACACACCATATATTGTAATAAACATTTTCACAGATTCAAAGTGCAATCTTATTACTTTGGGGAATTCAGGAACACAAGCTGATAAATTCCACATTGTGTTCTCGAAACAGGGGTCAAGTTGGCTTATTTCTGTGCGCATACTTTGTTACTCTCAACAGTATTGTATTACTGCATCACATAAACAGTCTAATGACACAAGCGTTGATTTGTTGCTTTAATTTCAGCAGGTTTCTACTTTAGTTACTGACAGTAAAATAATCTCAGAAAATAAATGTGAAACATTTAGCAGTTCAAACTCTGATAAGAAGTATTTTGAAACTTTGTGACCAATAATAAAGAAAAAAGGGCACAGTTAATCCACCCCCTGAGATCTCCTGTTGATAACGCTCCATGCCATGGCAATGTACAACTCACGAACACCCATGTCCTGCATACACCAAACAAGATAGGGGGCCTTAAAATTCAGATATTTAGAATATGGAATCCAGCTTTGCATGGCTCATTTTTTATATTAAGGGCACCTTACTGCAGAGGGCATTTGGATGCAGTTGAAGGGTGCCCTTAATGTCAAGGTTCTACTGTATTAAATTTTATTACACATATTTATAGAATACACTAACTTTTCCTCAGGGGAAAAAATGTCACAAAACAAGTGATAAAAAACATTTTGTAAACATAAAATGATGTAGGGATGACAGTGCCAAAAAAGTACAAACAAGTATATGGAAATGATACAGTTATACATAGTTCATCACTAAATAACGTTTGATATTAAAATCTAATGTTACACTGTAAAATGCATGAGTATAAAATTTGCCTAACCTTGTAGCAAGATTCTGTAATAATCAAGACATGTTTTGACTCAACTTGATTTTCTATGTAAATAAGTCTTAAGTTACACTACATAAATGCCAACCATGAGATTATGATAATAAATATATAGTTAAAACCACACAGGCAACAAATATATCAAAATTAAAGAATAGGTTGAACAATTGCCAAGTTTTAGTTATGTTTCGAGCTAGTGTTCTTGGTCAGATCATATAGCTTACAGCTGCAAATAGTGCTAGCTCAAAACATCATCCTTTTTTAATTAAAAATGTTACAAAAACTTGGCACTTGTTCCATCTATTTTTAATCATGGTAAACAAACTGCATACCAACAGTCAGGAATATACAACTTCCACCCACAATAATACATTTTACATTTACAAAATGTTTTTTTATTACTTGTTCTTGTCTGAAATGTGAAGTTTAGCTTTTATATTGTGTTAAACACTGTAGTTTCATGTATTGTAAAGCAACTGCAGAAATCCTGCTGAATCCATCATAATTCTTTAAAAAAAAGAAAGGTTTGCAATTATCATGCACAAACTCACTTTCTGATAAAGAATAATTTTTTTCAGGGAATTATCCAGTTGTTCTTTATATTGAGATTCCTTTCTTACTTCTTCATCTGCTAAAGCAGCCTGTAATGTTTTTTGGCAGGCTTCTGATGGCCAGAAATTTAAACAGGACAGAATACACTGCATTTTATATACAACATTTTGAATTTGCAAGGCAAAGCTCCAGGGGTGGAAGTTTTCAGTTGGAGGGCAGTGAGCCACCTGCCACAAAACTAGTTCTTGAAAAAGTGTCAACTCTGGAACTGATTTCAAATTACCTTTGACATCAGCAAAATCTATTAATTCAATTACTGATTTAAAATCTTGGCAACTAACTAAATTCTGAAGAAGATTCCAGATGAATTCTCGATCAATTTCTTTTTTTAGTGTTGTCTCAACAATTTTTTTATATCCATCATTCATGTCCGAAATTGCATTACAAGACTCAGAACAGAAACTACTTATGTAACCAAGAAGGAGAGCAAGAGGGGTTGTTGAAGCATTATCTGCCATTTCTTTCAAACAAGGAGAACAACTTCTTATTAACTGCACAAATTCTGCTACAGGTTGACATCTTTCTTTCAGATATTCAAACACTGCAGAAGTTTGAGTTAAATCCCAGGAAGTAAGCACTGATTTGGTTGTTGTTTTTGTGGTTTGTCCTAATTTGGTTTCCTTTGCATATTGTAAATTAAACCCCACTTCCACTGAAGGGGGTTTGAAGCATAACTTGAAAGGCAGAATCCTCCGTCCAGTTTCATCTGAAACACACAAATCTAAAATTTTAGGGAACAAGATGTTTTGATTTAATCAAAAAAGTAAATTTCTTGTATTTATATAACAAAAAGAGGACAATAACTACCACTTAGTACTTATCTATTCTGAATTCAATATATTACCATGAAAATCACATTTGAAATACCCTTCATTTACTCTATTATTAATTTGTATCATGGAGAAGCTTTGTTTCTTTTTACAAGAAAACAAAAAAAATAATTTCATATCATGTGAAAGTATACACATCATACACAATTTCACAAATAATATTCCTATATTATTTAATTATCTGGCACTGCATCAGTTCTTTCATTACTCATTATTTAATACAGAATTTTAAACTGACTCAATACTTAAAACATATTTGTATTTAAAATCATGTGTTACTTTAAACTCCCATAGAATGGCTGAGTATTATCAGAAAAGATATCAAATAAATATTACAACTATACAAACAAAAGCTTTAAAGACATTCCCATGAACACAGAAACAAAAATACTAGTCTCAGTTTTTTTACACCTTAAAAAGTTTTTCATAAATCCAACTATTATTTTTTAAGATAAAAAAAAAAAAGTATAAATACACAACCTCATTTGGCGTCAAGTCTTTGAAGGGTTAAATAAAATATATCAACATCACAAAAGTAACATTTAAGGAATATTTTGATTAAAAAAGTAATAATGTATAGAACAGAAAAAGCTTGAAAACTTTCTGAATAAACCTTTTCAATGCACCTACTATTAGTTTAAGAAACAAAAGTGAAAACACAAAATCAAAAACTAAACTACTATAGTTATAATCATGATGGTATAATAAAATATTCAGATACAAAATGGTTTATTTTAGTGAATAGATCTAAAAAATTTAAAAAAAACTTTGATTTTTTTACCAATATTTTCAATGAATCCATGAAGGAAATCCCCTTGCCAAAGTTTATTTATGGCTTCTCTTTTCTCACCAATCAGATGATCAGACACAAGTCTGGTTAAGTCTTCAAATGGAGATTTGATAAAATCACTGTTGTCACTCTGAGAGAAGTCTTCAGAAAATTTATCTAAGACACCCGGGAGTTCAACCTGATAACATCATAATTATGTTTCTTCCTCTAGAATTTGACAGTATTTTACACATTGAAGCTTAGTACAAAAAATAATGCATAACTATCTTTCTTGTTCTAGAATTCTACACTGTTTCGTACATTCAAGCTTAATACTGAAAACCATAATCTCCTTTCTTTTTTCTTAGTTGTAAGGATAAAATTTAAAAACAATACACAACCATTGTAACTCTTCAACTTAACCAGGGTGTTAAAAAGATGTCAATAAAAACCAAGATATTTTGTTCAATTCATCATAAATAAAACAGGGATTAAACAATTTCCAAAATACTTAAATGACTCGTTGCACATATAACACAACACTTTTTTTTACTTGGGTATATAATTTTTGATTTTTTTAATAAGAATTTAGAATGATAAAAAGTTATTTCTAAGATTTTATTTATATTTGTCCAGTTTCAAATAGTGTTGATGATTAATTACATTCAGTTTCATTGAGCTAAAATTGTACTTAAGAATCTGTTAGCACCAGAAGATGGCATTATATATGGTATTGTGCATGATGCATCATGACAAGAAAACTTTATCAAAATTAAAATAATTGCAAAATATGAAATGAACGATTCATACTCTAATAATGAATAAATTATCTGCTTTCATTTTTCAGGGTTTATCAATTTTTAAAAATTCCCAACATGCTATGTGGTATATTTTTTATGTATCTGCTTAAAATTTTTACATGCCTCAGCCATGTTATTCAAGTAATATAAAATTTTGAACATGGACCAAATAATTATTTTACTCAAAATAGTTATTTTTATATTACTTTCTGGTGGTTTCTATGTTTTATAAACATTTTTATGGTTAACAAACAAAACCAGTTGTTATTTACCAAACTTTATGTACTTCTATGCTATACTACACCACTGTTATACAAATAACAAGAAACAATTTAAAAATGGCCAGCCCTACTATATTTCTGAACCAAGTGGCACTAACAATAAAACTGTTCTAGACACCTCTTACATGTGTTCATCACATAATCAAATGAACATTCAAATATAACAGTCTAATAATCATAAAAAAAAAACATATCTGCACTTACCATTTGATTTGCTAGATCCACGTGGACATGATGTGAAAGATAATCAGTCATTGCTGTTTCCAAAATAAGATTCAAATTTTCTGGGGAAAGAGCCTGAAACCACATTCAAAATTAGTTTCCTACCACTAGCAGAATGTTGAACTGGGATAATAATGTTGATAGGAATCTCAAAAATTTATCAAGTTCAATATCTCTTTTATAGTATGACTTTTCTCATCTTACACTTACCACATGTTCCATATACAGATTCACTAGAACAGAAGGATTGTAGCAGTGGAAAAAGTATCTAACTTTGTATAGAATCAACCATATTAAATTTTTTGTAGACTATAATAAGTGTGTGTGAAGGGAGAGGGGTACTTGCATAGGTACGAAAAAAGATACAACATATCAAAACACATTACTGACAGTTTATTATTTATGACTATAAGGATGCATTTAGAATGTTTAATAACAACCAAACTTAAAATAATTTACTCTACAATATGCACTGCATACTCATACATGTTCAAAGCCTATGTTACTAGACATAGGTTACATAGAGCTCATTGTTATATTTACTATTTGCTCCCCGATGGCACTCTGTAATCACCGAACCATTGTTAAAGTACACAGGTTGCACTCAACAACCTGTTGTTAAGCTCACTGTTGAGCCACCAAATCCACCAGGTTGAATAGCGGGATAGTGTGAGAGTAGGTAAGTATTATCAGAAATAGATTGTCAATATAGGGAAATGTAAACTTCCGAAACACACTTACTTATGCTCACACTTTAGTTAGAATCCCACATTGACAAGGTGGAGGGGCTAGTGAGGGCAAGATCCACACAGAAAGCATCCATTTAGAAAACATGTGCAAGTTGAGATATAGTATAGCATCCTAGTGGGGTCTGCACTACTTCTGGAACAGGTATGCTCTTTGTCTTGATAATGTGAAATCTAAAACATGGGTGGTAGAGGCTAACCGGCCACAGTGTCCAAACCGTAACATTGTGATAAAAAAAAAATGCAAGGAGGGACATCTATTCTGAAATTGGTTCCTCCTGAAATGCTAGATGCAGCTGATCTGGAAATGTTGTATGTGCTTATGAGAGTCATCCAGGCCCCAACCATGCAGATAAGGTCCCACATCTCATCATTGGAATTATAGGGTTGTGGACCCAAAGGTAGATCCAAGGTGTAATGGCTAGGGCATGGGGCCCAACATTGTAGTCTGTGCTCCACTCTAGGGAAGAATACCCAGCTGGTAAAGTCAGAAACAGCCTCGTGTTCCAATGAATCGTGGCACCAAAGCTAGATGTCTGAAAACTCGACCGGAAGATGCAGGAAACCATCCTGTAGAAGACATTTAGAACAGGTGAGAAGCCAGGGTAGAAAGGGAAGAGTGGAGGCAAGCCACATTCACTCAAGATTCCATGGAATTGGGAATACCAATGAAAATCAACTGTCTGCAAAAAGGAGCTTCTCTAAGATCTCTAAGGGTTGAAGAAGGAAGGTGAACTCCCTCCAGCAAGGTATCTCTCTCCAAAATATCCCAACTACAAACCAACCACGATACCAAGGAGAGAGCAAAAGCCAATAACCTGACCAAAGTAGAAGTCAATAAACAACAAAAATCTTCTGAGAATTACAAAGGAGATCTGTCATCAGCCTCAGACAACAAATGCAAAGATGCTAGAAAATGCAAAACTGTTGTAAGTAACAAACAAATTCTTGAAAATTGAGATTGATTAAGGCAAACTGTAGCATCTTGTCTAAAGCCCCAAATAGGAAGAAGAGAATCTAAACTCTGAGAGTCCAAATAAAGATTCTCCAGGCAATGGAAAGTCAAGGCATGCTGATGCAATAAATGAGGAGGAAAAGGCATGGCAGCACCCTCTCTCAAATGATCAGCAAGTCTCCTCACATGCACAGTAATTTCTGGTGAAGGTGGAAGGCCAGGTAATCAGATGAGTGATTTTCCCCCAATAAAGAAGAAGATTCATAAGCTACAGAACAAAAAATACTCAAAATATTACAAACTTGGCGTACTAGTTGCAAAAACGGCGCAGGAGGCGGAATGTCTGTCTGAGGTTTGTGATTAACTGTCTGAGCAAAGGAAGGTGCCAGAAATATAGTCTAAATTCTCACAGGTCTGCCCTTGACTTCCTGCAAATGTAGCCTCAGAGCCAACAGGAGAAAAAACATCAGACCCCATGTAAGACTCTATCACTATGCGTATGAAAAACTGTATGTCCTCTGCAGAAGGTGCCCCCCCTGACACCCAGATAACACCAGACTCATGAGGTGGTAGAGGAGGAGCATCAGGTGACTCTGTGTCTGAGATGTGAACTTGTATATTCATATATAAGAATAAAAAGTAATAATGGGGAGTTTATATACAGATCTGGTGTAGAGAGCACATTGACATTGGTGGAAAGAGTCATAGGATTAAAACTGCTATGGGCAATATAGTGGGGGATAAAGACTGGAGCAAGCGAGGTACAATTCATACAAATGCTTAAATGGGCAGAGAAGAGACACTTTTGTTGGGATAAAGCTGAAATGTGAGGGGAGATAAGTGTTTTGGAATTCAAAATAAGAGAAACTGTAACTTTAAGTGAATAGAGTATGTAAAAATCACACTATATTTATGATTTAATCTTGATGTTCAAAGTCATAGCAATTAGGTCAAAAACAATTCTGTTACAGCCTTGCATACCACTGCAGCACAAAGTTTTCTACTAGTCACCTCATTAATATCATCAAGTTGTTGTTTAACTCCAGTCACAGGTGGAAGTACTTCTGCCTCTCCAGTTTCTTTGGAGAAGTGAATAAAACTTCCTTATATTTGATATTGTAGTTCTAAAAAAATTATTTATGCTATCACTGCTGAAGCTTTGGAATTCTTGGACTATGATAAATAACTAATCATGTACTGATATTTCACTCGGTTGGGATAACACAGTTGTAGTTAATTAGCAAAATATAAAAAATAATCTTTTCCTTTCATTTTGCTAAAAACATTTTACCTAAGGATACAAAAAGTGTTGCACTTTCATGACCAAAACTTCAGCCCAGGAAATAAGAGTGGAAAAAACCACTCCTTCCCAATCTGTATGATCCCACTTTTATGTTCAGAACTTGAAGTCAGAAAATACAGTTAATAAAGACATTCCTTCATAATCTATGTGGTCCTACCTTCATGACTATAACTTTCAAGGCCAGATCTTAAAGATAGAAAATCCACTTAACAGAGCCACTCTTGTAGAATATGCATGGTCTCATTTTCATAATCATCACTTGAACCCAGAAAACTCAGTAAACAAAGCAAATATTTTACAATCTATTTGAGTCCACTTTCAAGGTCGATTCTTAAACCCAGAAAATACAGTTAAATCCATTTCTTTACAATCTGTAATTCCATTTTCATGACTAGAACTAGAAACATGGAAGTCCAGCTAATAGAGCAATTTATTTACAGTCTAAAACTTTCAACAGAGATTAATTATGGCACTCTTCACCAGCTCAATAAACTTAATAACTCCAACATACAGAAAAAAAAAGGTAATTTAATGTTTTAACCTGAAGTTTTGGTGAGGATATGGTGCCTTCAATCAACACAAAAAGAAGTCGTGGGTCAGCATCTGTGATATAACTCTTCCATTTTTCAGGGTCTTGTAATTCTAGTGAAATAAATCAGACCAACAAACATTATAATTCCAATAATGTACTTTTTTATTAAAAAATCAAACTGAAGATTTTATAAATGAGCTTATAAACACTGTAAGTGAAGATTCTAACTGTTAATACAATATAATATCTGTACATATAGATATACAATTATACACACACACACATATTAACAATGTAACAAGTTTGTATATAAAAATGTACAAATTATCAAAACTGAGAACAAATTCAATAAAATCAAGCAAAAACCAACAGATATCCATAATATCAAATATGTGATAGCAATAATTTGATACTGTCTTTTAAGGCTGAACTATTTAAAAATAAATCTGTATTGTATGTTCAGGCTTAAAACTATGCCTGGACATTTTACAGTAGGTAAATGAAGCTTTACTGTCATTCAATAAAATTACATTCTAGGTACAAAAATGTTTTATGGTACATTACTATACCTACTACAAACATTTTGTTTTCACTGTATCTATATGAAATTCCCAAGTTTTATACTATCATAAAATAATTTAAATGTTCTAGTTTAAAATAAAAGTTTTAAATTTTAACAATACTTATTAATAAGTACTCCAAAAGACATAGTATAACAATTACAATAAACACACATAAAAAATAGTTGAAGAGTTCTAACTACAAATATAAACACTGCAAATTAGATAATTACATAAACATACCTGATCAAAACTATAATAAATACAGGTAACAGATATAACAAAAAGAAAAGGCTAGACAT